CAATAATCTTTGTATACAAAACATGGTGGCATGCAAGTATTCAACTACTTGTTTTTTTTAAACCATGTTTATCATATACTAACATAGAAATACATAAGAGGGGGACATAGACCTTACCTCCTATAGCTAGGGTACAGTATAGAGGGCAACCAAAAATATGGAGAAACTTATGGAAGAGTCCAGCCCCAAGGTAAAATGCTTTACCTGGTTGGTGGTTAAAAGAGCATGCCTGACACAAGAAGTTTTGAAGAAAAAGGAGGCCATTATAGTTTCCAGGTGCTTCTTATGCAATGAGAAATGTTAATCATCTGTTTTACACTGCACTTTTACAGCACAGCTTTGGTCTCTATTTCTCAACATAACAGAGACAAGTTGGATTATGCTGGAGCATACTGCAGATTTGCTTAGCTGCTGGATGAAAAGAGGAGGCACCAAAGTCAAAAGAAGTGGTGGAGGATCATACCACAATGCATCTGGTCGACAGTTTGGAGAGAGAAATGGGAGGTATTATGAAGATAGATCCAATTCCATTCAGAAAGTTAAACGGAATTGTATAATATCTTTCTAGTTTTGGTGTAAAGAAGTAGGTTTAGAGGATATACATCATTTTGCAGATTTATCAAGATCTCTGTAAGTATCTTCTTCTCTATTTTATTTTATTTTATTTTTATCTAACACTTTTTGATGGTGCCCAGCATGTCCTCAATGATGAGGAATACACATTTACCAGTTTCAAAAAAATAGAAGATGTTTAAACCAAAAAAATATGCCGTAATCCTAAGCAAAACATACATATTCCCGAAGCTATTCTTGGCATATGCTCCACCCTCATGCCCAGCATACATAAAAAGAGATCCAGAATGCTTAAGAGAGACCTGAACAAAAACAAGCTCCCGCATAAGCAGCATAAAAAACACCTATAAGAAACAAGTTTTAACAATTGAAGAAAGGAATACAAAAAGAGATTATGACAAGATAACCCCAGCTAGAACAACGACCAAGGTAGTGAAAAATGGTGCCTTCATCTTATAAAAATCTAACTTTCTAAAGTGATGTTTTGATGAAGGACCGAGAATTGTAAGGTAAACTTACCTGTTCAAGGAAAATGTACCTTCCTGATAAAAAGAATAAACGGAAATTAAATTAGCATATATCAAAAGCCAAACAAGCTTGAGTCCTACCTCCACCGTAGCCAAGCCTTTGGAGACCATCTCTATCATCCTTGTCCTAACCTGAAAAACCATACTACCATTCTTGAATTTCCACTTTTAAGTGTCATGAACCACAGAGGAAGAGAAGTTGGAGAGATCACTACCTCCTGATCTGATTTCTCATTCTCAAATTTTGGGTAGAAAGTGGCCCTTATTTGGGCTCTCAAGAATGTGGAGTTATCTACAGTAAAATTTTCCAATAAACTACCCTTGAATAATTTGCTTAAAAGAGCACTTTTTTGTTCATTTGGTGTTTTTTCAGCTTCAATCTTTGGGGCTCCAGACACTGTTCCATATGATTTGGGTTTCCAGATGACTTTTTGATGCTGCACCGGTGACTGGGGTGCTAATCCAACGCTGCCAAACTGAAGAGATGCGACTGGAATACTAGACTGTGCACCGCTTTCAGTAATATCCAAGGAACTTAGATGGTCGGTAATGGCTTCAGTAGTTGCAGCAGATACAGGTTCGACATTTGAAGACAAGCCTGGTACCCTATTGGAACTTGGCCTCACTTGCCATTTTTTTTCTTTATGACCACCACTTCTCTGTAAATCAGAAAATTAAAGTGATTAAACTAGATCCAAATTTTAGATGCCCTTACAGACACATATTATGACAAAAAAGGTAGAAAAAGATTGCAGAACGCATACTCCACAACTATCTTAGTCCCACCTAACTACAAACACAAGTGTAATGGCACAAGAAGCTCACATATGTAAGGTGGTGTGATGATGTCAAAAGAGAAACAGTTATGAAAAACAAAAGGTTTGACACAACTGCCATGGTTTGAAACTCCTCAAGGAAGTAGAAAGATTTAGATAAAATCAGCTAACCAAATATAAAAGAGGGATTTCTAGCTGTGGCGATTATATAAGCACAAAACATAAGCAAAGTTTCAAAATAGAACACACTGCACACTGGTGTTTAACTTTCCTTCCTAGTTAGCCAGGAGTTATATGACTTCCATTTTCAAGAAACTATAGGATTTCTTAATGAAAAATATTAACACATAAGGAGACAACAACAATTACCCCTCAATCCCAATTTAGTTGGGTCAGCTATACCAATCCTCAATATATGTCCCTCTCCATTTGCATTCACGGAAATAGAAATGCTTAAAATTTAACCAAAAAGAAAAGTTACCAAGTTCAAAAAAAAAAAAATTAAACCAAAAAGATAATAATGGCAACATCCAAGATTAATAGTTAAGGAAACTACAACAATTTACCCCTCAATCCTGAACTAATTGAATCAGTTATACCAATCCCTAATTATTATATTTTATGACAAAGAAACCCGCAATCACTACCCTTTGAGTGAGCACAAGGTAAATTCCGCACTTGTGCAATAGCTCGCAAACTACACATAAGAGGTAAACCGCACTAGGCAAGCCCCGTTCGACGAGCTCAACCCTTTCCATATGCATTTGAGGAATTAGAATATTTTAAATTTAACCAAAAAGATCATAGTGACAACGCCGAAGATTATGACAGACTCGTTCTTTTAGAATGCAATCTCAAAATTGGACATTCAGAAGCATACCCAAAAACCAAAAAAAAAAAACAAGAAGGACAATATACCAATAGTACTCCATCTGTCCCTCCCAATTTATGTGAAAAAAATCATACCCAAGAACTCAAAAAAGAAGGTCAACATACCAATATCAAAACTTGATCAATAACCCAACAAATGTAATACTCCCTCTGTCCCTCCTCCCAATTTATGTGAAGGAAATCATTTTTTTTATAATGCAATCTCAAAATTAAACATTCAGAACCAGGGGCGGAGCCACCTTGTAAGAAGGGGTTCATCCGAACCCCCTTCGGCGGAAAATTATATTATTTAAATAATTTGATGTCGAACCCCCCTCGGCTACTTTGTGTGTCTATTTCTACAGATTTTGAACCTCCTTACTGAAAATCCAGACTCCGCCACTGTAATCAGAACCACTATACCAATATCAAAACTTACATCAATGACCCAATACATATATAAAACCATACTCTCTTCATTCCAATTTACACACCATTTTTCATTTCTCAAGATTCAAAACTGGGTGAACTTCAACCAAACATTTAAAATGTAATTCTTCCATCACATTAACATGAGTATAATCACATCTAATAATACTTTTCGTATAATTCTTAACATCTGAGTCAACTCTCAATAAGAAAGAGTAATAACATACCTGATTGTTTGGCATGAGTGAAGAGAATAGTAGCGAGGTACTGTATGTGAGGGAACGAGATTGAAAGCGAAAGAAGATTCTAGAAGGAAAAAATGAGGAAGAAGAAGAAGAAGAGAGATTGTGAGGGAGATGGAGTTTAGCAGTGAAAGAGTAAACGATCCTATTCGAAACCGACATTCAGTGCTATAGAAAAGGAAGACTCAACTGTTGTATTATATATGACGCGAGAAATTTCAGGGGAAACCGGAACAGTGACTACCGCCTTGAGGCAGTCTCCAATTTGGGTTCCATATGCCATATGGACAATACAATATAATAGCTGGTGCAGACCACATTCAACACCGTGTCGGGTTCGAGAGCTAAGTATAAAAAAAATCTTACTCCTATATACCACCCTATATTGAATTATGTTGTATGTGATTTGGATTTAGTCGAGCTTTGATGGGATTTTCGTGACTTACACTAGATGAGAAATTAAAAAAATAGATATTGGGCTTTTATTTTTAGAGTAAATGGTGGAAAAAAAAAAGTATAACTTTTAAATTTTAATTTTTTACCGATATGCTTAAGAGTTAAGACTGTGAAATTAAAAAAATTATTTTTATATATTTGATATACTTTTGAGTTTTGATTAAAACAGTGGATTTAAAAGTTTTTTTTTATTTTTTAAAATAAAATAAACAAGTTGAAATAGATGAAGTACTTGATTTTGATTTTATACAAAAGTTGTTTGTTTTCAATTTTCGATGGCTTTTATATAATATATTTTTCTATTTTTACACGTAAAAGATGTAAATTATTTTCTTTTATTTTAATTTATAATTAATCATAAGAGATTATTTTTTTCGCGAAAGTAATTTTCATTAAATTTAGTGAAAATTAATTGAACTAAATTACCCACTAAATCTAAAACTTCCCGACCTTGTTATTTTTTCGTTCATTACTTTTTCATATTTTCGTACGGAAGGATTATAATCGTCTTATCTTTGTTCTTTAAATTTTAAATTTTTTAAAAAGCAATTTTATCAGTTTCAGAAGAGATTAATGATTCATTTGCTAGAAAAAAGAAAGAGACGTGAAGTAGTAAGTAATTTTAATGGTCTTAAATTTTCTCTCGCAACTATAATACAATTTGATATTTATGAATTTTACACATGAAAAGAGTTTGGAAAATTCTCTTCATAATTTATTATTTTTTTGTTATAATTGCCAATGAAGAAGAGAATTTATATTTACATTCTTTACCTGATGTGAAATTTGTGTTTCAACTCATGTTGCAATTTATGAAGTTTATAACATGAGATGCTTCAAGGATTTATCATTATTTTAGTTGATTCATTCTTGTGTGTGAATGTGGCATGTTTTCATCATTCACCAATAAAATTTAGCTTTGTTTTAGTTGACTCATTCTCTTCTTCTTTTTTCCGTTCATTGCCCGATACTCACATTAGAGCTCGATGAAATCTAAATTCGCACCGAAAAATTCTACATTAGAATAAATCGCTCTCTAACAAAGGCAACTCTGTATCCAAGAGGACTCGAACCTTCTAATATCAGCCAAGGAAAATAATAGTTTTTCAACATTCAGTACACCATAATTAGGAACAGTGGAAATAATGTCTTTTATTCCAAACTTTCTTGGACATTTTTAATATAAAAATGTTAAAAAGGAGAAATAAAAATGAAAAATATGTAAATGTAAACAGAACCCAGCCTAATCAAAATATAATGAGAGACTCAGCTTAATAGCTGTGATCTTGTAACAGTAGATCAGACACTACATAAAATTGTATTAAAAACTGATCTTTCCTGTAACTATTTCCTCCTAGGTAATCTATGCTTCGTATTATTCACAAAGCTAGGAAGGAACTACAATGTCCATATAGATAATGGACAGTTGGACGATCTTCGCGACCAAGCTAGTCGATGTAGTCCTCTTTATCAGGATTAACTACACTAGATACATTTTCTTCATCAGTGGCAACATCACCCAGAATAGTATCTTGGGTCTCTCCGTCATCATTTTGGATGGGAGATTGATCTGGTTCTGGTTCTGGTTCTGGGGTAAAAGGTCCTTGAGGATTTCCAAAAACAGTGCTGAATATGTGTCTATGGCATTCATCGCAAAAGTAAAAATAAGTAAAATGACCCTCGTATAAGAGCCTATGTACCATTGCATCTGGTAGGACTCGCTGCAAGAAATCACTTGTGGATGGCGGTACCACCATATCTTCCATCCCCTGATAAAATTTGGAAATTTTAGTTACTTTACACATGTTGTTCATATATCATGAGGAATTTATCTTGAATAAGGGGAACGAAGACAGGTAAAGGAGATGTGAACTAACCTGCCATACATGTATTTGACCAAGGAATCCAGTCAAGATTTCTTCTGTTTGACCAAATAGAGATTTAATCCAATGCATAATACCCTTTCCAGGGCGTTTCCTCTGCACTTTGAGGTCTGCAGGGCTAAAACCCCAATTTGAAACCTGTAAGACAGCTTCCTCTACAAATGGTTTTGCATTCTTTTGTCGAACAGATTCTTCTACATCTCTCTGCCAGAACTTTTCAAACAATGGATGCTCCAGCAAAGCTTTATCCTGGAAAGGTTAATCATTCTGTCGATTAGGCAAATGTTGATCTGGGAAAATAAATGTGCCAAGGCCACTCAACCTCCACCGAATCTTACAAAACAATGTTGTTTTTTAACTATAAATAAAGGGGTAAACGGCTTTTAGTGATTTGAATTCTCTTTAGCTTTATTTCATTCATGAATCTTTCTTAACAATAATATGTGCACAATCAATTTAGCGGTGTTACTCTTGTTACACTATTTCATAGTTGTTGGTCAAGAATCAAGGTTACTTACTCTTATTGCAAGAGACAAGGCAAGCGTTGTTTCGATCTGGCCATGGACTCCACTAAGGAAGCTTCTTCGGTAAAAGTAAGGAAGTAGTCTTGGAAACTTCCTAGCTAATATATACATGTTTTTCTTCTTTGTTGTCCATTTCTTCCACATTTTACTCTTCTCCTCCTTGGTCATTCTTGGTTCATATGGACTAATCATTGGAGCGACCATGACGGCACCTGCAAATCCACTCAGGAATTAGATACAACTGAAAGAATATGAACCGAACCTAAATTTTGTTTTGCATGTCGAGTGAAATAGAATAAAGTATAATGGGGCTTCTGAAATCTTTGCCATAAATCTCAGGTGCAATTTAGTGTTTGAAGAACCTAAGGACCCAGAATCAAGAAAGAGCATCAACAGTATCATCATGAGGCCTTCTTTCATCCACTGTAGAAGACTGGTGACCTTTCCAATTGCAAAAGTAGTTTTAGCCTTGGGCCTTCGTGGCACTTCTCTTAATGAGCATTATGTTAGTTGCAGTGTATCACTCATTTGGCAGGATTCATAGACTTTGTCAATACTTCTTATTCTTTGGCAATTTTTGTTGTGTCCATTTTCCCCTGAGAAGATGCTATAGAGTTGTAAAGTTTCAGACTCTCCATGATAAACAACAAACACGTTGACTGTGACAGGCTGACAGCAGCCAGCTAGGTGGCTAGAATGATTTCTCTAAAGAATCTTGCATGTGAACTGGAGAGGGAAATGGCAAACAATTTGTAAAAACAAGGAAAAAGACCATCTTACCTGCAATCCTGTCAGGGATGTATCTAAGGGCGGCCCAAGCATGCATGCATCCATCTGAGAATCCCACCACCCAGAATTTGTCAGTAACATTGACAGCATAGGATAAGTGTAGCATATCCATGGCTGATGACTCAAGGTTCCTGGAAGGATGAGGATCACTTTCTCCAAATCCTGGAAGATCATACGTTACCAAGCGAATACCATATTCTTGCAGTAGAGAAGTCTTAATGCCAGGTATTCCTGCTTGTTTTGGGGAGACAAACACACACCATTAATGCATATGCAAGAGCTTGTATAAACGACTTGCCAAAATTAACCACTTTAATCTATGTTTGTTCGAGGTGCAACCGAGAATACGAAGACGGATACATAGAATTGATTGGAAAGGTTTAACGGTTAATAATTAGTACGATACCTGCAAGCCGGGACGAGACGAAAGAATGCGGAGCAATCATAGAAAATCTAGCCAGCTCAGCAGGAACACCCTGCTGCTGATAAGCCAAATGTCTACCGTCTGGGAGCGAAATTCGACTAGCACTTGGAGGATGTATACACACTTTCTTGACCGATGTAGTTGGATATATATTATCATTACTTGCAATAAGCACTGTAGATTAGCCTTTATCAGTAATTGTATAAGTAAAGGTGTAGAAAGGGAGAACATGAGCAACCAGTCTGAAGAAAATGAGGACATTTGCAAACATAGGTGAGTTGATCAACAATTAAAGGGTACCAAATTATCAACCCACTCAGTAATCAAATTTGCACAAATTCATGTGGAACAGCGAGAGGAACTAAATATTTTTTTTTGTTCTCTAGCAATTACTGCCAACATTCTAGTCCTGAAACCTTGTGAAGCTCAATCAGTAATCATGCACATTATTTCAAGCCATGTCGTATGTATTAATGGTTGTAGCACGTCAATCTGGCAATTTTCCCCTCCATATGCTCTGGTGTTAAAAGCTGAAAGGAGAAGCTGTGGATGACTGATTTATGCAGACAAGCATTTCTCCATCCACATATATCAGACTCATGACCATAGTTCCTACAGTTTGTTGATCAATATCTTTCATTTTTTATTCCTTTTATAACAGCCTACTTTGTTAATCAACCATGGTAGATTGGAGTTAAGTCCTTGTATCCTACAGTGACTACAATCAGAGCAACGGATTTCTAAATCTACAGTTAGAGAAACAACCCTCTAAACCATCTCACAACTGAATAACATAGTTTCTGAAATTCTAATCAGCAAAGACTAACAGAAGTCAAGTGAGATAAATCAATTCTCTAAGGTGAGAAAATGTGAAATATGTTCTTTCCATTTTATCACCCTTCAGAATTCAAGAAGCAGCATGGCTTTCTAAATGCACTCTAAATAAATCTTGTTTTTCACATCAACGTAGTTAACAATGAGCTAGAAAGGCCCAGCAAAACCACTAAAGATTCAAACTTGTAACATAACAATTCCACCTGTGGCCAGAATTTATCCCCTCAGGACCAATTTAACAAGTCCTAGAACCATTCTCAGATCCAAAATGACAATATCTCAGTAACCAGATAACTAAAGCAACACCATGTTGCACAGCCCAACTCCAAACCAACCTCATCTATAAGAAATATGTGATCGAAATAAAAACCTCCCTAGGTGAAGAGAATATACAACTACAACAATATTCCCAGTGTATACACTCACAACTGTAGTCCGGGGAAGGTAGGTTGTACGCAGACCTTACCTATTCTGATGCTCAAAAGAAATATTTCTATGACATCAAATAGCAAGATACAACGCAAATGAAGCAACATATAGTAATATACATTGGAGAATAAGAGACTACACAACTACTAAGTAATAGTACTACTATCAAGGAGAAGAGCAGGACTATATATTACTTCAAAAATCAAAATTATTTGAAATTTTGTAAGCTCTTAAAAGCAGAGAAAGTTCACCAAAATTCATCCTACATTCCCTGAAGGATAGAAGCTAAAATCACAGTACCTGCAGAAGCAAGAAAAAGAACAAAAAATATCACACTCCAAGCATGTGCCGGATCGCGATCTTCCGGCAAATATTCATTCAAAAAACTCAATCTCCGGCAAACTTTACAACATAGCGGTCCAACTTTCCTCACAAGTATCGAATCCTCTCTAATCACACTCTGCTTCAACACATCCCTCACTCCCTTCCCAAACTCCACACTCATCTCCGCAAATCCTTTAGCAAACTCCACCGCATGAAATTTCCAGTTCTCACCATCCTTACCTTTCACCTCCACCCCCGCCGGCCCACCTCCGTAACCACCTCCCACTGCCGAATACCTCGAATTATACCGAATTTCAGTATCACCGACTACACTACCTGTACCTTCTCTCCATGACGACGACGACTCGTTGACTTCTGACATTAAAAAATCCTTCCAACACCAAATCAAAAAAAAAAAAACTTCAACAACTAAACTGCGAGCTCCCTCTCTCTTCCTATTCACTTTCTCTCACTATACTATAAATACTACTACACATATGCATAGATTCCTCTGTATGAATGAACAAAATTTGAATATATATTTTTCACTTCTATCTGAGAGAAATGGAGTAAGCTTTTCTTTTGGATTTTGTTTTCGCCATTGATGATGAAAAAGCTTGAAGTTTTATTATGTAGAAGAAAATTGTGGGGGGGGATCAAAGTGTAATTAGAGGAAAATAGGAGGGGTGGTAGGTAGAAGAGAGTGATGGGATAAAGGGCTGAGATTAAGCCACGTAAGGAAAAACGGCAAAAGAAGAAAGTGGAGTAGAGTGAGGTGGTGATTGTTGTGGGGGATGGGGTAGTTGGTGGGGACGTGTGGTTTTTTGTTTGTTTTCATTGAGAGTTGAAAGAGTAAAACAAAAGTTTCGTATTAAAACTCGATTAAATTTAAAATTGCTCATTATAAAAAAGAAAATTGGAGCGATATTTTATTTTGAAGAAATTTCACAAATAGCCACTAAAATAACTTAATTAGGTTACGTAGTTATAGTTTGCTAATTACGATTTGTAATTATATGTTAGAGGAAGGAGAGAGACGAATTGTATTTATATATCTGTCATATAATTGTATATGTATAATTTGTATTTGTCTATGCATTAGAGAGGAGAGGTGCACGTAATTATTGAGTGGTAACTAATTCAAAATATAGTTATGTTAGCTAATTAACTAGGATATGTTTGATTGTCCGCATACTTTCTCCCTCAAATGCAAGATTTTTGAATCAAGGATGGAGGATCTCAATTATTATACTACAATTCGTATTGATTGATAAATATTGTTATTGTGTTTTCGTATAATATAATGCATTAACAAATACACAAACTTAATTTAAGTTAACAAATAAGTACTTTAATTTTGATAGTGTACATCTCAACATCTCAACTTGATGCTAACTGACAACTAAATACTCAAGTCATCTGCATTATGTCTCGTAAACACTCGATGATAATATATAAATTTTAAAAGCTTTGGATTGATCATTTTATAAGTTTAAATATTTTAATTGATATGATAAAGTCGAGTTAAGATATCTAGATATGTAATTTTCGAAATTGAAATATTATAACCATGGAAGAATAGTATGGTCCCCTCCATGCCCCACCAAAACCATTCCTCCCGGCGTTCTAAAATGGGTCGTAGCATGTGGATTTGTATTTTTATTTGACTAATTAACTAAATGATCCCTAAGTTAGAAGTATTATGCATTAGTTATATACTTTATTGGGTATTAAGGTATGTATTATTAATATTGTAATTTTTTAGATATTAGTAATGCAAGAGGATTTAATGCATGCATTAGTATGGTTAGAGACTCAATTATCCCTCAAATTCCTTTTCACGGATTTTTCACCATGATATTATTGTAAATAAATATGTTTATGTCATGCATGTTATTTTTAAGGCATAATACATAAACATGACCATTATTGTGGCGTCAACTGACAATTGTGATCTTTAACTTTGAATCTGCACAAGTAGACACTTAAACTTGTATAAAATTGAACAAATAGCCACATCCGTCCTACATGACACCCTACATGGAAATTTTGTGTCCTACGTGGCGTCCTACATGTATTATGCCATGTAGGACACGTGTGTCTACTTATTCAATTTTATACAAGTTTAAGTGTTTACTTGTGCATACTCAAAGTTAGAGGACATAGTTATCCGTTGAAGCCAAGTTAAGGGTTATGTTTATGTATTATGCCTATTTTTAATACATCAAATTAGGGGTATCAAAATGAACCCAAACATAGGTAACCCGCCCAGAATTTTAAGGGTTGGGTTCAAGATAATTTGAATTGGGTTCAATCTCAACTCATTCAAGCCTAACCCATTTTAAGAGAATCCTCAATTGAGCCTAATTCAATCTCTAATTTCAACCCGTTTTAAAACTCTTTACTAAGATATGTTCCTATATTAAAGGTATGAATTATTATCTATTTAACATCTTTTAGGATTTATCTATCCATTTGTTAACTTTTAAAATAACTTGAGCTGATATTGGAATTGTGATTATAAAAGTTAAATATCAATATGTTAAAATTATTGAGATTAATCGGGTCAAATTGGGCGGGTCAAGACCAACCCATTTTTTAGCTCATTTGAGCTCAAAGTAAACTTGGGCGGGTCAAGACTCAACCCCAATTTTCTATTTTCAACCCCATTTTTAATATCTCCAATTTCAACCCAACCCGCCCATTTAACACTCCTACACCAAATCAAACAAAGTATAAGTAATAATCTATGTATAATTAATACAAACATGCATAACTAATACTCCTTATGTCCTATTTATTTGTCCATTTTTTACTTGACACAACCTATTAAGAAAATAAATTTGGCATAGCGAGCTTCCATTTTATCCCTATTAATTGATAGAATTCCAAAATTAATTTACTTATTAATTGAGGATATAATAGATAAAAAATATATTGTATTTTCTTAATTTGTCAGAAATGACAAGTAAAAAGAGACCGAGGAAGTACAAGCATTAGTATTGCAAGAATAATGAATTAGCATGATTAAAGACATAATTGTCCCTCGAAACATTTTCTACGATATTTGAAGATTGCGGTTTATAAATATATTATTTTAAAAAAAAAGAAATAATACATGTTATTTTTAAAATATCAAATCAAATAATACATGATTAGAAAATAATATCTAAAGAAATAATATAAATATAATTAATAACTAATATATATATATATATATATATATAATATCATTCTTATACACCTTATCGAACGACCATATGGGTGAAATTATTAAAAAAAAACAGTTGCAATAATGAAAATGAAAGTGGCGCATGCTGAAAAAATTGGAATGTATATTGTAAAGAATGTTAACTTTTGGGGAGTAAAATGAAAATAATAATTAGAGAATGAAGAAAAAGAAGTGCACTTTTTTTTATAAAAAATAAAACATAAAAAGGAGAATAATTGAAAAAAAAAAAATGCACGTGGAATCTAATACCCATGATATAATAATTGGCCCCTCAAAAATGAATTATATTAGGTGGAGTAGTGGTCCAGCATAAGTGATGCCAAACACAGACTGTAAATAACCATTACATTAAATCTCATAACTCATTTTGATATACCAATAAATACTTTCACACCAATCATGTGAAGTAAAAGAATGATGAAAAAGATTACGAAAGAATGTGGTGCAGTAGATGTGATTTTTTTTTTTAATCAAATGTTTTGGATTTAAACTCTAAAATATAGAACAACTCTTGGTAGGAAGCACTTCCTTTCGAATGAAATCCTACGTAGTGTGACTTCATATATAATCGAGCTTCAATGCAGATACTAAATATCGAATGAGAAGTCTTTTAAAAAGAAGAAGAAAAAGAAACCGTGAATAAATGAATCATGAATCATGAATCTAACTCAATTTCGAAAGTTAATTTATGTATATTAAAAGACTATCTAATCCTTTTTTCGTCCCACATCAGAAAATTCAATATTCCACCTTATTCTTAAGATTAAATATCTGAAAAGTAGATAATTTATTATGAAGCTCAATATTGATAACAATAATTGGGCAAGCTCTGCTTTGATACTATATAAAGTAAGTTATAAATTTTGAATCTACCTCAATCTCCAAATATTATTTCATGAGACAAGAAATGTATCAAGACAATATAAGAAAACCAACCATCCTTTTTTCTCCATCGCATATGAATTCTTCAACAAAATTTTGTAATTTTACACTCATCACATGAATTTGGTAGCAAAAAAATATTTTTGTATGAGAAAGTAAATTCAGTCACTAAAAATGTTTTTTAAGAAACAAATTTTCTAAAAAAAAAATCAAAAGGAAAAAACATGACTTACTAATGTCACTCATTAATTCTAGACATGATAAAATGGTAAGCCTTGTCCTCATATAGGGGAGAAGTTGTACTAGTATGGTTTGGCCAAAAAATAAATGTAGTATAGTCTCTATCCTAAGCTAAGATGATTACTTTGATGAGTCATCCTAGGCCCTAGCTATTTGAAGTTTGAAAAAAAAATAGAAGAATTAATTATACCTTTATATATGTATGCCCTTTTCGTGGTACATGCCTTATGAATGTAGAAACTTGTTGGCTATTAAAATTATCCTAATTTTTTTAACGGAAACTAAGTTGACTTGCTAAGTGTAGAGCTAAGAATTCAACATCCCAACCTAAATTAAAAGGGAGCTTCAATTCGAAGTGTGGGCTACGAATACTAAGAAAGGTCCATTTCCACCTTTGAAGCAAAAAGATTTGATAAGTTGGTCAATTAGAACCGATTATTTCCTTCATCATTTCGTCCTTAATTTAAAATTTCGTTATTTCAAATTTGAGCATGATATATACAGTCATTTATTATTATTTTTAAAAAAAGAAGAAGAATATTTTACTCCTTAAAGTAGATTTCTTACTTATCTTTTTGTATTCGTAAAATAAATAATAAAATATACTAAAAGCATTTATATATTAGGCAAATACTGGGTCTACTAGTGAACCCTACTGTCATTTACTAACATATTGCAATCCTATCAAAAGGTTATTTCATCTTTTGGCAAATTCTCTACTAAAAAAATAACCTTTTGAGACAATCAAGCCAGAAATTGGAAAATAGAGACTGCCATCAACAAAGACCACAAAATAAAATTCCACAAAAATGTTGAGAAATCGCGGTCAGAAAAAAGACTTGAATACACACTGAATGGTGAGCATTTCAGTATCGAAGAATTCTAGATTTCTTCAGTAATGGAATTATGATAAACTTGGCCACTCCAGACATCTTTTGTCTCCAACCAGAGCCAAAGTGCATTGTAGCAGTCCACATTCTTTAAAATACCCCAGCAAATGAAATGAAAAAACAATTGTTTCTTTCCTTTTATTCCTAAATAACAGATGAACTCACAGAATCCAACCCCACGGGAGGATCCAGAAAACTGCTCATGGAGCCAATTAGTAGCCCCAGTAGTCATTTCGAATTTCATCATCAAATTTCTTCTTTAACTCGGGATGCTTCGCAAAGTATTCTTCTGCTGTCATGGTACTGAGTTTTTTCTGTAAATCAAAACAGAGCTACACTTGAATATGCATATTGAGGAAGAGAAAAATTAAATTGATGTGT